TGTGAAAGCAACACTAAAATCTTTGCATTTTTGAAATTTACTGGAACTCAAAGGCCAGCTTTCCAGATTTACAAAAGTCCTTTACAACATCTTTCATAGATTTCGTTGTTTGTGATCTTTCATGAGCCCATATGCTCACTACAAGCCGTTCTTCAATAGTATATAAACTCTTATCAGCTATCTGAGATAAATAAGCAAGGTTAATTTAAAACAGATATTAACATGCAAAGGAAAAAAATGTTAGGGGTCAATTAATTAGGGGTCACGACATGTGGACCACCCTGTACTGTGGCCACGGATACAATAACCAGGACGCTGCCACAAGTGTAATGGTGAACACACTGGAACTGCAATGCAGAGGTGAGCGGATCAATTCGATCTCCGGGCGTAACAGGTGAAACAAAAAGAGCGTTTCTCCCCGCGCCTCTCCACCAAGTGGTCAGTCATTCGGAAGGATGCGTGTGATGGCGTCAAGTGTGGGTACTCCCACCGCTTCAAGGACGTCTGGTCAACGTGGTAGAGAAGGCCAAAGTACCTACCAGAGTCATACCAACAGTGGCGTGAGCAAGCAATTGCAAGGCTGCGCCTTTATCGTATGGTTCTATGGGCAACGGAGACAATGTTGACGGGTCTCAGTTCATCAGTCGGTTGATCAACAACTTTGATGATGATGATGATTTTGGATCGGTAGAGAAGAACACTACGATGATAATGGGTGATGATTGTGGATCGAGATAAAGGTTGATGATGACTGTAGATCTGAAGAGGAGATGATGATTAAGATGATTAGTGTGGATCAAGATAGGAGAGAATGGTGATGACTGTAGGCGTGTAGAGTAGTGCATAGTGATGGTGATGATTGTGCATCTATATAGAGGCAAGAATCATGATGATGATGACGTTCATTGCAAGAATTATGATGGATGATGATGACGACGATGATGATGATGATTGTGAATCTGTCGAGGCAATAATTATGATGATTGCGGATGTGAATACGTGAGACGTGTGCGTTGGCGGAGAGAGCTCGGGCTGATATCGCCGGGTTTAAGAATCCGTGATTGACAAAAGCCCCACTGTGTATGCGTGTGTGGCGACAGCGCCCTCAAATTCAATCCCCACACCTGCGACGTGCCACAAACAGCACAGGTGCAAGGGACCATCGCAAAAGTGTGAAGTTACCTTCCAAGCCCATTCTCCCCTCCCAGAAGTCTGGGGCTGAGCGGGGGGGGGGGGGTCCAGACTTGCAACCGAGCCAACTGTAAAAGCCCCAACAGAGTCAGCACAGTGGAGAGGCAGTTCAGATGGCATTGTCTGAGACTTGCCTTTTATGCCTCTTTGTGCTGATTGACAGCCCAACCGGTCATACCGCATTGTATAAGCTTATTACATTATTGGTGTGCGCATAAAAAAAAAAACCCAGAGCGCTTCATGTGGTTGTGATTGCCCAAGCAATTTGGTTGCTATAAAACTCATAGCCCGTACTGCATCTGCCAGGAAAACAGAGCTCACATAATAGTGAACCACGTGTTTGGATTACCAGCAGCGGCTAGGAAATCATCCGAACAACTCTGTCTTTTTTTAAAAAAAGAAGTATTATAATTCGCATTCCAAATTCTTTGCGATATTCTCAGGCGGAAACTGTCACAGATGCGCTGATACGTTTGTTTAAGAAGGCATGTGTGCCCTCCACGCGCACACACTAAACCAGCCACCATCGGAGCGGATGAAGCGGGTGTCTCTGTTTGAGCCCCTTGTCACGCACGGTGCCCACGTGTGGCGGTGGACTTCGTGGCATCGCAGGCGCGGTGCACACACGACTCGGAACGTTCGCGGCATGCAGCTTCGAGTGGGCCACCTGCGGCTCCAACAGTGACCGCTTCGTGACGGTCTTATGTATCAAGGACCACCACCGTCTTCGTCTTCACCACAATGCATGGCGGCTCTTGACGTATTGAGGGGGAGGTTTTTTTCGTACCGAATTTTGAAGAAGAAGAAGAAGTGGCTCCTCCTGTTGTTTTGCTTTCTGACTCCGCGGGGCTAGGACGAAAACTGTTCCGTCGTAGCGGCAGTAACAGTGGGGGACAAGATGACATCTGGCAAAGAGCACAGCTTGTCCGCTCCAATGGACATGTTCATCGTGTTCGTGACACCAGTTAGCGGGGGGGGGAGGGGGGGAGTTCCTTCGACTAAAGTCATTTTTCCGCCACTCAACACGAGCGGTGGTTATTTTTTTTTTGCGTTTAAACAATTCGTGTGCGAGAGGATTAATGCGGTGCCTCTAAAATGCCAACTTTTGGGTTGCATAAGCGAGGCACGCCCCCTGTTGCAACACGGCACCAAACGTTTACAGTTTGTGTCAAAACATTGTGGAACTGAGGGCTCGATGTGGATATTTGCTAACGCTATCAATACCTTGATTGGCATATACAGCACTGTACACAAATGTGCCTCTGTATTTGTGGCGAGATGTTAACTACCTCGCCCGGTATGCAGGTGGTCGGGGATTCGATCCCGACCACTGATGCCTGCTGCTGTGTATTTGGAGTCTGCGCCTATTTCTCTCTTTCCCCGTGGTGGCGTGGATTTTTATCCGTGTCCCTCCGGGTTTTCCCTCCACATTTACCAACACGCGTTTAGAGAACGCTGGCTGTTGTGACTGTCCACACGATAAGCCACTTCGTTGAGCTATAATTTGTGGCCAGGTCGCTTCTGAAAAGGAGCTATACAGCTCAGTGGGCCTTACCTGGTAAATATTTTTTTTGTAGTTTATAGTTTAATCCCAAACATTTACAATGACAGCGTTTGAGATGTGGTGCTTGTATTAACGTGCAGTTCACCTACTCGGCCACCAATAGCAAGGCCTGTTTGCATGAAAAAGTATCGGCAGGTCAACTGGAGTACTACCCCCATGAACTCCCTCATGCGTAGTGGTTTCCTGTTGCCGAAGGGCAAATCGACAGGTAATGAAAGGGCACATGTGTACCGGGGCCGCGTCGCTGGGGGAAAATGTGGTTTTCCTCTTAATTTACCGCTCTTCAAAAAAACACTGCAACAGCTGCATTGTGTAGCTTGTACGAAAGGCAATGAGTTCACAAGGGGTACGTGGGGAAATGCAGGCTTGGACTTGTCCGTTTATGAGAAATGAGCATCGATTGAGGATCAAATGTGTTGCTTTGCAGTGGCCTTTCGAGGTTATTTCCGAGACATATGTTGTATCAGACACCTCCACTGAGTTTTAAATTGCATACGAGACCCAATACCGGCATCTGTGGATGAGAGCTATCACGACGCAGCCCAACATCCAACACGGACAGACGCACGCGTGAACCGCGGTAAAGTTTTTACGCACGTCCGATGGATCAGCTGTTTGTATTCGCCGCAGCCTTCGGCTTAAAATGCATGCTCATAAAATGTGGTTGATAAAAAAAAATCAGGGAATGTTGGGGTTGCCCCTTCAAGCACTGTGGGTGAGTTAAAATCTCGTGGTCAACACCTGCTCTGCCAGCCGCTCGTTGCAGACCGCCAGGCGGCAAGTTCAGACGCGACCAGCAGCAGCAGCAGCAGCAGTAGTCGGACAATTTCTATTTTAACAAAAGAATATGGCCCACACATCTGTGTCGGTGCCCAGTTTTGTAATTATAATTTTTTGTTCATTATATTCGTAAATTTGGGATCTTGTTCCAGGTGTTAGAATCATTTACATTGTCGCATATTAACGAGTCGCCGTCATCAGGAAAGTGGCGTCACCTGATATCACGTGGCACGCTCTTTGGTGGGAAAACACAGAAATGATATCACCGATACAACGTCCCCTGCGGTGTGTGGATACATCTGCAACAAATCTTCTTGTTGTGATCGTCCGAAATGTCTTATCCAGGCCTGATGTTCACATTTTTCAGATACATTTGAAAAATGTGAGCGCACTCCTCGTGTGTAAAACGCATATTGATTCACCAAACAAAATATCGCATATCATATAGGTCATTGCATACTACTGTGCTATAAATATGCCTGATCTCACCGGAATTCGGACACTAAGCAGGATCGATACTAGTTAGTACTTGGATGGTTTAACCAGCACCAGGGCTTGCCAGGTCTTGTAGGCGTGACAGTGCCACGTGTCACTCCCTTGTATGCGTGGTGGCTCTCTCCGGGAGTTCCCATTTCCTCCAGAATTCCAAACACTCACAAATGGAATTAGCGTAATATCCAAATGCAGCTAAGACCCTCTTGAGACGCAGTTTAAGCCTCCCTGGAGCAACACATTATTTTGTTTGTCTTGTCAGTGCGTAATTTCAGCTGGATCTGTCTGGGTCAGTGACCCAGGAATAGTTCTGCACCCCGGCACACCACATCCAGGATGCCTTCCACGATGGTTGGAGCTTCAAGTCACGTGCCACGTCGCAGTCTACCAGCGATCTGGGTAAATAATTGAACTCGTTATTTGGTGGCACTGCGTTGGCAGTGGTGCACAAACAACAACAACAACAATCTCAACATGTTCTATCAACAACGCTGTGGCCTTGGAAGGAACTACCTACAGCAGGTGACGTTTCGGACAACGGCCCTTCTACTGAGAACAATATATGAAGAAAGGCCCTTTCCATGTCGCCTATTATATATTTTATTTCAGGGTAGTATTATCTATTTTCTTTTAGGATGTAGGGCAATCAGTTTCAAAGACAATGCTTACGTTATCAGAGCATGATTGTTTGCATTTTTTGCCACAAGTATGTGTGGTTAATGCAGACTTGATGCCTTGCAATAGGCATCGATTTGGTGTTTGAACATCTTAACACCTCCTGTTGATTTGGCCGCAAGAGCAAAGCCTATTCTTATATATATTTTCTCTCATAATTTTGATACTGACAAAAAATGTCCCGTAAGATAGGGCAGTATCGTAGACGAACGTGCGGACGATGTATTTTTACGCAAATAATTGGCAGTGTCGCAGGAAGTGCAATACCTTCTGTTGACATCAATGGCATGGGACTATCGAGCTTTAATGCAGTGAGCTTTATTAGCATGGAGAGTACAGAAGTCATCAATCTTAGCCATTCTTGTTATGTACGCACGTAAGAACACACCACCGAGTTCTATTATACACATTTACTGAGCTAACAAAACATTATATGTACACAAAAGCTTACCTTTGTACATCACTCACTGGTAAACAAGAAAAACTTCCCATTTATACTATACTGTATATATGTTTGCACGTTAGCATTAAATACAATGTCATTGGTAGATGGGTAATAACAAAAACACATTGCATGAAACTGGCTTTGGGAGTCATGCTCGAGATCCGTGTCTCATGGTCTTCTGTGAGTTAATGCGCCTGCATATGCAAACTGTTGAATAACCAAAATGTTCACTACTCATCAAGATATTCACGAAGTATGGCCTAACAACGCTGCCATGATGAAGACGGCATGATGAGGGCCTTAATCCTGCAGTGGTTTTATACAAAGTTGTAACTTATGAGTATTTTCAATGCGATGTTTTTATGCTGTGCGCGAAGCCATCAGTGTACCGCATATCTTTAGGATAAACTCTTTGCCAAGCGCCTTTGCCACTGTATATGCTCACACAACAGGTATCACGGATGGGGCATATGCTTTTGATGGTGGAAGAGCAGCTGCCGTTCACATTTCCAGGTGGATATGAACTCGTTCAACTACTTTACGTATTTATAACGTTACATTTATTGACAGCTCGTTTGATTCATTGTAAAGCCGCTGTTTTTGAGTTACGCTTGGGGGAAAGCTGTATTATTTTATTTCAAGTACGTTTTGCAACGGAGGGCTTCGTGAGACTTTGTCAACCAATTTGCCTACCAAATGTCTCCAGAATTTGTCAGACAAAGACACAATGGGGATGGCTCGGCCCACTCCAGTCCACAACAGAATACTTTTATTCCCCACGTGGCCAAGGCAACTCTGCAACCAATGTCTCATCTCAAGTTCTCAAGTCATCTAACTTTAACCAAGTTGATAGGGGGCGGGGATGTTGGGGAAATCGATTCGCAAACCAATGATAGATTCAGGTGCGAAACAATATTTTGAACTTACATTGTTCTAAATTAGTTTGTTGCTCGTATTTATCCTGAGCCCAACTTGTGAGCCTCCATTATTTCCTGTCGGTTTGTTTTTCGATCGGACGTCAAACACAATTTTGTTGTCGCCAAATCTGTGGTCACCAAATTGGGAAAGGATCACGAGAGACGGCTTAGGAAGGTCTTCAATCCGCCATTGTATTGACCGTGGCTGCTGGCGGTGATGATGACGATGACGCGATGATGACGACGATGTACGGAGCCTTCCCGAGGGTACGGCAAATTGGGGCGACTGCCCCGGGCCCCGGACTTTGGGGGGGGGACGCGCTTCGACGTCACGGTGTCAGATGTCATTCTTTCGGTTTAGTTTTAAGGGGGCCCACCACCCCCCGTGGACGGCCCTGACGATGTACGACTGCAATTTGATCACATTGATGGCGCATTGTTAGAACGGTTCGTAAATAGTTTTGTCGAAGACATTGCAAGTAAAATCTTGAGTACAAATATACACAGAGCACATGGGATGAACAAGTTAGTGCCAACGTTTAAAAAATATATAAAAACAGATACAATGCCAGGTGAAAGAAGAAAAAAAAGCTAACTTTACTAAGACCAACATAAGGTAACCATCAACAGACGTGATTTTTATATATTTAAAAAAATATACAGTACATATCGAAGGCATATTAAAAGAAAATTCTGTAAACTTTAAAACATCAATTTCCACAGTAGCTTGTTTAAATTTGTATATTCCTGTGGTATAATGCATCTTAGTAATGAAACAAAAATAATAATGACTGACCAATGCATCTCAATAATAGCAGTGCTTACTCTCATTCTTAAATCATTTATTTCCTCACCTCTGCTTCATAGCTGCAAGAAGGGTTGCCACCTCTGAGGTATAAAGAATCCTTGGGGCTTATCATGGAAAGAATAATTACTCACAATGCCAGCAGAGGGGAGAACTACATGAAAACATACGCTGCCTTGAGCCGTGTATCTTTACACAATTGACAAAACACCAGGAGCTTGAATTTCCTGGCAAGACTTTGGAGATTTTCCCAGGAGAGATCCCTCAAAGAGATCACGATCCAGGATAGGTGGCAACCGTAGTCGCAAAGCAAAATTATACATCTGCAAAGTAATATTGTCTTTAAAACCAAAACAATATATTTCATACTGGCTTCATGGTGTGGCAGTGTCATTCAAAACATAGTTCTACTTAATGTAAAAAAAAAACGTGAAATTAAATCAAACATTATTTGACTAAATAAAAATAAACATTTCAATGACACATGCAGGCCTGCTTAAGAAAATAAACTCTGCAATATAAACAGGTGCAAGCACAATAATAATTCCCTTCTTTATACGTAGAAGGGTTTATCGTAAAAATGTCTTCCCTTTGTGGGTTATCCTCAGGGCGTGTTTACCCGTCAGAAGCTGTTTGAAGTTCTGCCGTTGAAATGTTCCACACAAACATGTCCGTGAATCCAAAGAAGCATCTCTGTCACATGAACTGTTGCCAATTTGCATGTCCCTTGAATTAAATATAGTTTTGTTTTTTTATGGGTACCCCGTTTTTTTATTTAATAATGGGAGACTCAATACAGCATGATGTGCTCTGACCGGTTTAGCGAGAGCTCTGTATGAATGCATGTGGAACTTCTTTCGCACCGTATGTAGCCAGCCGTGCTAATCGGAGGTGCGGGAGAAGGACAACAAACGTAACACTAAAGGAATACGTCTTCAATTTAGATTATTTAAAAGTGCATAGCTCTAGTCACAAACTAATATCGAAAGGAAGAGCGTTCCAGACGGCCGCAGAAGCACATGTGAAAGCGCACAATGGAGGTGACCGTCTTTGTTCGGTCGCTAACCAAAAGCCGCTGCGAGGGTGAGCGGAGTTCGCGTGATGATGGTTCATGGTCCTTGACGAGACCAGCAAGGTTTTGTGGTTCATTTGTGACAAGCACTTTTTGTTATACAATGCAGCACCATTTAAAAAAAAAGCTTCTACGGAACATGGTCAGAATCATAATCTTCATTTCGACTGGAAGAATCCGATGAGCTATGAAGCTCTTTTTCACAGACGTCCAGTAGGGGCGGGTCAACAAGTAGCAAAGTCTCTATGTGCTACAGGTATCGACCGACTCCAAATGCAGTTGATGTACAAACTGTAATGCATGACCTGCTGTTGATGGAATATATATTCAGTATATAGTTTTAATTAACTTTGCTGCGCTAGTGGTTAAGAGTGCAACCCCTACAGGGGCTGTAGGGGTTGCCGTTCAGGGCTGTGGATATTGAGAGGCCAACAAAATAAGTCTGTATGTATATTTAGCTTTGAAATAGTAGAATACCAATACTGTAGCACTAAATCCTACAGGTAATTTGGTCATTAAAGCCAAATAATAGTTACGTGTATCACTATCAGTCACGTGCCAAATTTTTTAGTTTTGTTCATTTTAACTTTGATTCAGCTTTACAACTCACAAATCATATTTGTGAAACTAGAACTGCAATAACCAAAGTGATGGTGCATTTGATATTGGACATGGATGGTAGAAAAAGGGTGAAGGGTAGGAACCGACCAAACAATGCAGAGCCCCCCAAAAATGTAAAGAACTCTAGCCCCCCACCAAACGTAATCGAGGCCTGCTTTATAACAAGTCGGTTCTCATGAAGTTGATCGTTCATTACCAAGGCACCCTCTATACTTCGTCACGTCAAAGGATTGTGAGATACGGCGATGGTTCAGGGAGGCCTTCATCCAGCAGTAGATTGGCAAAGGGCTGCACACTATTAATCTTTATTAGTATTATTTCAAGGAGCAAACCAATTGGGTGAGTGCCACAGCCTAAATTCCAAAATTGGAAACCACCCTCAGCAAAATTACGTAAAACATTTTTTATTATTATAAAGCACACTTCTGTGTTTAAATTTCCAGGGTGCTGTTGCAAAAAGCATAATTGAATCGCTCACTTTGTGAAACAAACGAAGAACACGTCCTGGCTGATTTTCATAAAAAAGTGGCTTCCACCCTCGGAATAACGTGACCCAAAAAAAAGGTACTCATATCTGACTTTTTAAGCACATGTTTCCACATTCCAGTTTGTGAATAATAATAATAATATCAAAGGTTAAAGCTGCAGCCCCTGCGATTGCTTTGCTCACGCCAATTCTAGCCACAGGACCTCCACGAAAGGGACCTCTGTGCTCTGTGGAGCCCGTCTGGAGGGCTCTTGGCCTTTCTCTCACACGCTGGCCAAACGTTTTTTTTTATAAATATACGCGATGGTTACTTCGCTGAAAGAAAGCACTCGGTGGTCATTGACAAAACGGTGGTGGTTGGCTTGAGACGCCGCAGGTGCTGGACTTCTCGCTAATAGGGAGCAACACGTGACTCACAGCAGGCGTTGAGTAAAACGAGCGGGCTCTACATGAGACGAAAATAAGCGCCATTATTCCCTACAAATGAGCGGCTATCTGAGCCAATGCTGTGACTTGTTATGCACCATAATCACTTTCGAATTATGTGGCAGAATGAGTAGTGCGAGGTGATTCCACACATGGGGGTAATTGCGGGTGAGTTCATCAATTAAATGACTGTACCAGCCGGAGTTAAAACTCGGGCACAGCCCCGCTCAGTGAACTGTAATTACTTTAAATGAAATAAGAGAGGAAGCAGTCTTAACTAGTTTATTTTTTTTTACAACGCAGGGTATTATTTTATAAGTCGACGGTTGACCGTAATGGTGACAAATGCCACTCTAAAGACAATATTTAATCATGGAAATTAAAATGTTCTAAGACCAGGTGTACGAAAAGGAAATTGTGAACATGGTAACGACAACAACTCAAAATAAACGTGATGTAACAGCCGGGAAAATCCACGCTGCAAACGTAAGAACGGTTAACCCAATTAAATGACGTGGAAATTGCAGGGAATTTGGATGACCCCGATTATTAATCCGCTGAGTTCATGGCCAACGCAAGAGAGAGGCGGGCGGGGAGGATGCCGCTGTGAAATGGCCGCCCACTGGATAGGAGTCACGGAGACATCGCGAACACGGCCCCTTAAAAAGATGGCTTTTTTGCAAACAAAAGGCACTTATTTTTTAAAACTTGAACTCATCGTTTTCGGTCGTTGAAACGGGGCCATACGCCACGTAATAATATTAATGGCATTAATGATAAAGTAAACTTTTTTGACCATTCTAATATCGTTTACATAAATATGGCTTAGTGCAAAAGCAAGAATGCGTTTTTTCTTTATTTTGCTTCGAAATAAACCTTTTCATTATTAATCATCGGTTAATACATGTAAAAGCACGTACAGTTAATATTACAGGAAGTGATATTTGAATGCTAAAATTTCAACTGTATGTTTTTACTTTTTTCATTCATTTTCTGTAATCCTATTACGTGACCACACAACAAACTAAAAATTTCAAAACATTAGCAATGTATATACCTCGAAAGTGGAAGCTAGAAAATGTACAACGCTCACGGAAGACTGCAGGAAACAAATCATATTAACTGGCATTGAAAACACGTTTACACAAGAATGTTAAATGAGATGGCCACAAAGAAAACAGGTCCATCATTTCACTGACTCTATTTCAATTGTGAGAAAATTAATTTAAAATGTAAAAAAAAGTTAATATCTACAAACAATCCAGGTTACGTTGTCTAAACTTGCGAGACGGAGACTCGTTTTAAAACATGCGGTTGCATTTCGATATAAGCAGGGATTAAAGACAAGGCTATGAATTGCGTGGTATTTTATCAAGATGTATTATAAGATTGATGTATTTTTGCCAATAAATCTAATTTCATTATTTGGTCAGCCAGACTGCACTCCAATGGGTAATACAATCAGTTACAAAGAAACCAGTCAAAGCTGTGGTGTTTTTTTTTTAACGATGCATTTTTCAGGAGCTATCTAATTTTCACGAGAGGGCTAAACATAAATGATGTCCAAAACAATCTTTGGATGATCATAATTTTCTGATTTGTGTTTTTTTTTACCAATTATATAGTTTTGGAGTTAAGTTTTGCCTCCGATTTGCTTCATTTGACGCGTTTTAGTTTTCCCGAACAAGTGCGCTTTAATATGGAAGTGTGGCTTGGGTGAGAAGATGTTGAAGCGAAAATACTTGCGTGACAATACCAAATTAAAACTGATTACAATAGGGATAAATAATTGCATTGCCCCGTCAATGAAACTCACAATTGAATGCATTCCGTTTGACTTGTGCCCTCTCCCAATGGATATTAATGGTTCTGCATTCAATAACAATTAAGCTTTTACTATACCAATTGCAAGTGGGATATATTTAATAATATATTTTGCTTTCTAATGGATCCATTTACAATTGCTGCAACGTCTTAACCATTTACATCCACTAACAGTAACGATGTAACACTAATGTATGCATGTACACAAAGATTATTACTCTGTTTAAAAAAAAAAGACGTTAACAAGATACCCGGCAGGTATTCACTGTATTTACATCACGTGACTGAAAAGCAACTTTCTAAACTCAATTAATAAAAACACACACATAAAAGCACCTCACAATGACGACGATAGTATTAATGGCTCAGCGTCAATGCATGCCATCAGCTGCAAGTCAGATGAACCACGGGCAACTAAAAATTTAAAATAGGGGGCCACATTGTCACGAGTGAGGAGGTCACGGATCTCAACGCTTTGACCGTCCCTGTTAGGCGTTTCTGCATTCGCCAAAATTAATGCGTAGGGAAGCCCTCATCCAGCAGCGTATTGCCCGTACACCTGCAAAGCTTCCGCAAGAAGAAGCAGCAGCAGAAGATGAAAGCAGTGTCGGCAACTGGTATGCGCTGTGAAGCAACTCAAGTCAGGTTCGTGAAAAACAAATCTTCAGAATTGCAGCAACAGAAAATAAAAGCATCTTGTCCAGAAAAGATTTGTTTTCTTATCCCTGCAGCTGTCATTTCAGATCTTCAATCTTCTCGCCACGATGTTCACCATACAAGTTGCACTCGCCCATCCAGAGAAGCTGCATCGGCATTGCAGTGACACCGGGAAACGCGTTCGTAGCGCTAATGCGGTAACTGCGTTGGAAGCTCCGAGGCCTGCTCATTTCCACCTTTTAAGCCAAGCAATCCGAGTAATAATGCTTCGTGGCATCATCGTTAAATCTGTAATTGGTAGCGTGGTGCAGTAAAAATAAAAACTTCGGGAAAGATTCATTGTTCTGCGTGTGTTTTTTTTCTTTCCCCACAACGGAATTAGATTTGCCACGTTGACAAAGCAACCAGCCCTGCGCAAACGTTTGGTTTTCTCCATCAGCTGGTGGTGAGCGCCGGCTGTCCTCTGTCGGGGGCCTCCTGCTCTGGCAAACCCGAGTCTCCCGCATCTCCGCTCCGCGGGGGCCCCGTGACGCCAATCAATATGGCCTCCACACGGACTCGGGCTCCAGCCGCGAGGGCACGGCGTCCGCCAAGCTGTTGGCGTTGCTGGGCGAGCTGCTGGAGCTGCCGTCGCCTCCGTCGGCCGTGTCCCCGTCGGGACTCGACAGTCCCGGCGTGAGCAGCACCGAGTCTCCGGCACCCACGCCCATGCCCACGCCCATCGCGACCATCCGCCCGCCGGCGGACTGGCGCTCGTCGCCGGCCATCACGGACAGCGAGTACGTGGGGCCGCCCGAGTGGCCGTAGTACAGCTGGTTGAAGCCCGACTGGAAGGAGGCGGAGCTCGACTGGAATGGTGCGGTGCTAGCCTGGAAGTGGGCGGGGCCCGGCTGGAAGGAGGCGGAGCTCGTTTGAAAGGGGGCCGGGCCGGCGGAGAAATGGGAGGAGCCCGACGTGAATGGGGCGGAGCCGGCGTTGAAGGGTGAAGATCCGGCGGTGGTGAAGGGAGAGGAGCCGGTGAAGGGGGAGCTTTGGTGGCTGTGCGGAGGGGTGTGCGCCGGGTACGGCGGTGGCAGGTAGGCGTAGCGCGCCGGCACGGGCAGCCCCAGCGAGCCCGGCCCCACCTGCTGGGTCGAGTAGACGGACAGCGGCCCCGAGTAGTGCATGCGTGGGTCCGTGTTGCGGCTAGGGTCCGGCAGGTAGGAGAGGCTGGCGAACTGGCGCGGGTCGCCAAAGGGCCCCAGCTCCGAGCCACCTACGCCACGACAGAGAACGGCGAAGACATGTTGTAAAACGATTATTATGTTTTTTTACCAGGTAAGGCCCGCTGAGCCGTTTAGCTCTTTTGCAGAAGCGACCTGCCCATCACAAATTGACAGCTCAACGAAGTGGCTTATCGCGTGGATATTCATAGCAGTGGGCCAAATACTCTAAACGCAAGTCCATTTATTTATTTCGTTGTCGTCGTCGTCAGCCATTGCGCATCCACTGCCGCGAGACTTGTGGGATCTGACTCAATGGACGTCCTGCTCCCCATCTGGGTCAATGTCATTAGTGGGCTGCAGCACACAGTTTGAGTCTATGAGGGCCTCTGGTAGGACGTGTGAGGAGCAGTCAAACAGGTACAGGCATAGCCCCTGCAATTGCTTGCTCACGCCACCACTGGTGGAAGCTCCTTGGCGAGAGGGAGCTCTAGAGAGCCCTTCGAGAGGCTATGTTTTGGTCTACTCTTCTACGCTGACCAGACGGCTTCCAAGAGGTAGAGGTACCCACACTATATCCCACCGCACGCGACCTTCCGATCGACACATATCAAGCGAGAGCGATGGTGGTGGTGACGGCAGGAATGGGATTTCGCCTGGCGGCGAGTGAATGAACCAACGAATGAACCGGTGACGAACGAACGAACGGACGGACGGGTCAATCTCATCGCTGGGCCGTGCGCGTTTTGTCGTTGTTGTTGTGGCCGGCGGCGTCGCGTACCTGCGATGCCCACGGCGCGGCTCGGCGAGAGCCCCGCGTTTGTGTGAAGCGCCGGTGCCGCGATCTGGCTGAGGTAGGGCCCGTAGGGCTGGTCAAACGACCACGGAGGGGACGGCTGGCCATCTGCGACGCGCGCGTGCGTGCGCGGCGATGGCGAGGGGCACGCGGAGAGAGATGAAGAGGAGGAGGGGGGGGGGAGGAGGAGGTGGTGGTGGTGTAGCGGACCGACGGAGTCATGCGTGAGCGTAGAGCCACGCATACGCGTGCGTGGAGCGAGGGGTGGCGTGCACAAGTATAGGATGGAGATGGAAGAAGTTAGATGCATGTGCGTATACATATGTATGTGTGTACATATATATACGTAAATAGATGTGGATGAGAAATACCGGCGTGCGTAAATGGGAAAATCGGAAAAGTGTTTTTAGGTTCCGCGCAAATATTCCAAGGAGCATCCCAGGTCAAAGAAGCATTCAAATACATCGGTGTTGATTTTTTTACGGAAATGTTTCGAGAATAATTTTAATTGACAAGCAGAGAGGGTGCACAACGAATGGCACGGGTGGAGGGGGTTGGAATAGAGATACATTAATGGTGGTTTATAAATAAATATATAGAGGAAGGGGGGTAAAACAGACAGATGGACAGAGAGAGAGAGACACACACACAAACAGGGGTGGGGTAGACACAAAAGCAACACACATTAGCATTTAGGCCACATTGCACACAAGCAAAGCGAACGCAAACGTTAGTCAGACGACCACCACATCAACTACACAGCAAACGCTCATCTCTCTACAAATACCAAGGACAATGATCCCCCGTGTGACTTTAACAGCATGTTGGGGCAAGTGCTGCTAGCGGGCACCTATGAAGGCCGGTAACGGCACACGAGGGGGTGGGTGGCCAGCACCACGCCCGACCGCACCAGGTACTCATTTTGAGGCTGAGTCGACCCAGCACCGATTCAGATAATCGTCACCGGTTGCCGGGTTCATACCGCAGCGCGCTAATCGCTACACTACCGCTCCCCACTTACCAACCACACACACACAGACTAACACACACACACACAGACGTACGCGCGCCCAAGCATAATTATTTAAGCACAGCAATAAGGATAATCCACTCCACCTGCAGAATTAAGATATTCTTTTTTGTACAGCAGGATCCTACGCAAGGACTTGTTTGACTAATCCCCTTCCCAGGAGCAAACTAAAGGACCCCGGAGAAAACCCACACGCGCCAGTACAAAGTCGAACAACAACAACAACATCAACAACAACGACGACGATGCCAATTCTTTGTGCACGGGGTGGCGGGGTGGGAAACAACGAAAGAAACCCGCTTCTGTGAACCCAGCCCCTGACGTGACGCCGTGGTGCTGCGGCCACAGAGGGGCATTGTTGCGAGCCCCCGGAAGGCAGCGGCGTCGCCGGGGCAAACAAAAAAAAAACCAACCCCGACGCAGTTGAAAGCGCCGCTCGCAAATTACGCCGGTGCCCCTGCCTGGCCGCCCCGGGCCCGGAGACAATATGCTGGACACAGCCCCGTACACTCTCCTTGTCCTCCTGTCCGTCACTGTTAATCAGTCCCCATGAAATAGCGATTGTCCCGAGATGAGGTCCACGTGACGACATTCTCCCGCTTTGTGGCTCTGCGCTATTTCCTACGGCGCAGGTCAAAGGATGCTCGGCCCCCCCCCTCCCCCCCCCCCCCCCATTTTTTAATGACTACAAAACACAAAGTCAGCAGAATCACGCCGGGGATGCCTCCACTGCTACATCGACGGAACGGACGCGTGTGTGTTCACGCACGCTGATGGCTACGTACGGCGCGGAAGAAGTTCACCAAACATGCATGCGAAGCCCCCCTTTTGTCAACTCGCTGCAGGATTAAGGCCCCCCCCCCCGCCCACCGCCACGCCATGCGGGCCTCTAGCACCACGTGGCCAAACTTCACGACGCGAGTCGACAGGCGTCGGCGAAGGAAGGGAGCGAGCGTGGATGTGGATGCACAGCAACGGGGTTTCTTTCCTGCGCCGTCCACTGCTGCCCACGACCAGGCCTGCAGCACCTGCAGCACAAGCAGCACCTGCAGCACCTGCAGCACCTGCAGCGCCTGCAGCGCCTGCAGCACAAGCAGCACCTGCAGCGCCTGCAGCGCCTGCAGCACAAGCAGCACCTGCAGCGCCTGCAGCACAAGCAGCACCTGCAGCACCTGCAGCGCCTGCAGCGCCTGCAGCGCCTGCAGCACCTGCAGCACCTGCAGCGCCTGCAGCACCTGCAGCACAAGCAGCGCCTGCAGCACCTGCAGCACCTGCAGCGCCTGCAGCACCTGCAGCACAAGCAGCGCCTGCAGCACCTGCAGCACCTGCAGCACCTGCAGCACCTGCTGCGCACGGTGTTCGCCACGTGCGAGCCGTGCCCTGCTCTGCGTCCCTGAAAAGGCATTTCAGGTGGTTTGATTTATGACCACTGCCAAGCTCCACTTCTCGCAGTGAGAATATGTTGGTCCTTTAGTCTTTTTTTCGAGGAAAGACTCTCCGAGTCTCAAGATTATTTTTCGGGAGGGTCATGCATTGGCTATTGTCTGACCAATTACTCCAGCTGCGTTTTGTGTTCGAGTAATCATAGGAGTAATCATAAGCACCCGGAGCGCGACCGATCTCATCAGAACTCGCAAGCCAAGCGGGTTTCAGCCTGGGCAGAGCTCGGATGGGCGACCGCCACCACCGGCCATAAACCAGGTGCTGTAGGCTGTTGTAGGGCGGCTACTGTTCTGGGCAGGAGGCGGCAGGCCAGCAATCTCCATCGCTGTAACGTACTATGCGTACGCGTCTATGCTCCCCCCTGCCTTCAGCTACTCGCACCGATCAACGTCGTTTGAACTGCGGTCAAACGACCCCCTGCAACCCGCACGGAGTGGGGAGGCACTCATCCAGCAGCCGAGTGCCAATCACGGCTGAGTGCACGCGTGTACAGCGCACGCAGACGTAGGGTAGGCGATGAAGGATGTGGAGAGCGCGGCTCTCTGAGTAAATAGGCTAAGGTGACTCGGCTCTCTGAACAGACAGGTTAACCCTTTGGATTGTAATAAAAACTAAAATAAAAAAAAACAGCTTTCTCGGTACTGAGGCTCCCACAAGGCCATGCGGGAGGGCGTGTGGCACAGTTTGGCGCCAACTATCGAAGAGTGCGGTCGTGTCGCTACGGTTCTCTGCGGTGAGTAACAATGTCTTTAAAAAACAACGGCGCTACGCCTCTCTAAATAAAATGAACGCTGAACCGCTTTACGCGTTCCGAGATTCCGCGGTGAACGGGACACCACCCACCGCGCAACTTGCAGCACATCTCGGAACGGGAAAGGGTTAAGGTGACTTGGCTCCCTGAGCAGACGGTTAAGGTGACTCGAAATCTCATAACCCGCCCCTGGCTCCACGTCCCGGCTACCCGGAGGGTTGATCGCCAACCGCCGATGCTGCTTGGCGTTCGCGCGCGCGGACGAGGCCATTCCATGCGGTGGCTTTTTATTGCTTAAATAACCGACGCGCGTTAAATGTTTCATGCCGGTTTTGATGGCTCCGCCGTAAACTTTATGGGGAAGTTCCATAAAAGCTTTGCTTAACATTTCACATTAATGAAGTTGTGCGGGTTATTTGGAAAGCTTTTAATACGGGGCCCAAACTGTTCCGCTGGCACGTGGAGGCAGACGGGACGACACGTCTGGCCGGTGGCGGTCTGCGCTGGATTTACTGCCTCGGCTTTAATATTTAATGTGGCCTAAAAGCCAAAACATGGGCCCTTGCAGTCAGCCTAACCGGGGCAGCCACTGCCCCCAACACGAATGAAACAGCTATTGATTACGAATTAAAGAGCGTACACTTAGTAAATATCAGACAGTGCCCAACCTCCCACCCCTTCCTTTATCTACCCCTCCCCTCGCCCCTGGCCTGTGGGCACCTGGCCTCGGCTTGTCGTCCGCGGAACATCTGTAACGCCCCCTCCTCTCTCCCCGTCTCTCGTGCTCTGTACCGGGCTCGTGTTTAGCAATACAAATATAAATTATATTTATTAAAAAGTATCAAGATTGAGAGCGTGAACGGGGCACGGCGCTGTCGTTTTGATTTTCGCACCGCTGCTTAAGTCCGTGATGCGCGATCAGGGCCCAGTTTCTCGCTCAATTGTCATGGATTATCCCACATCATTGTGTGACCTTAATTCCCATAATCCTCTGCACAGGTTTAGGACAATATAAGATTGGTGGGTGCCCAAAAAATTTTCCGGGACGGCGTTTCCGGACCGTTCCGCCAGAAACGAAACGCTGTGCGTAATGAACGAGTTTGCTCTTCGAGGAAATGTTGTGTCACGTGGCTGATTTGTGATTAGAAGTGTTCACGCGAGACGCCTACGCGCTGCTGATGTTACCGGTGAGCTTCGTTAATGAAACACAAGCCAAAGCAGTGCGATTGTGGCCGTGCAGTCCAAACTATGCACCTCATAGTAAACCCATCGATATTCATGGAGGTACACAGAGTGACCCATAGAGACACATAGAGATACATAGAGATAATGACCAACAGAGACACATAGAGATACATAGAGGCTCGTATAGATATATAGTGACCAACAGAGACACATAGAGATACATTAAAGGTAATCCCCAGTGCGATTGTGAGCATGCAACCCAAACTTATACGCCACATAGTAAACCCACAGTTATTCTTAGAGATACACAGAGTGACCCATAGAGACACATAGAGATCCATAGAGATAATGACCCATAGATACACAGAGAGATACATTAAAGGTAATCCACAGTGCGATTGTGAGCATGCAATCCAAACTATCAACCGTATAGCAAAGCCACTGCAGGAATATCCCTATTTTCAGGTGGGTCATGCTTAGGACATGACTCTCCTGTTGTGCGTGGGAAGATATCGATGGAAACTTCGCGTAAGCTATACCATTTCCTTTTCTGTGTTTCTCAAAATCGGCTGCCCGTGACCCACTCGGCATTTGGAAGGTCACCCTCGCACAGTCACTGAGAACTGCAGTGTCGTGGGGGCTGCAGGCGGCTGAGCCCCCCCCCCATACCCCGCTGAAGACGAACTAAAACTGTGACTC